CGCGGGCGCTGCCGCTGGGGCCCCCGCGGGGGCTTTCTGCGGCGGCCGCGCTCAGTGTCGCGAGCGCGCAGACAGGCATGCCCGAACCATTCGCATTCATATAAATTTTACACGAGGCGCAGCCGCGATCGCACACGTGCACATATATTCGCTCGCACGCGGACTCATTCACACTTAGACTCACTCGCGCTCAGATTCACTCGCGCTCAGCCCCTCTCAATTAGACCAATCGGTTTCCTTCGCGTCGTGCGCCCCGCCACATATCGGCGCGCCCCCCACGCGGCTCGCGGGCGCCACCGAAGAAGACGCTCGCAATTGCGGCACTCGCAACTGCACATGGTTGGGCCCTTCGCCATAATATCTCACACATAAAGCACGTCGGCCCGCGGGGGGGGGGGGGAAGGAAGAGAAGGAGAAAAGGACGAGAAACAAAAGGAAAATCAGAAGGAAGAGAAGCAAACGCACAGGACATAAGCAAAAGGAAAGGAAAGGAAAGGAAAGGAAGGAATTTCCGAAACATAAAAGAAGAGGGAATAATAATCATAAGTAACATAAAAGCGGAAGGAAGATGAGAAAGAGGAATCCTACTCGGCCGTCTCAGCCTCGAGCCTCTATTGCTTGTAGAAGCTCGTAACAGAGTCGGCCGTCTCGCCAGTCGAAGTTCGTAGCTTCCTGCGCGAGCTCGGGGCTGCGGGCGGCGAGGTCTGCAGTCCCCAGAGGCTCGACAAGCTCGTCTGCTTCGTCGGCGCGACCATCGGAGTCTCGCTGCAAAACTGCAGCACCTCGAAGCAACAAACCTCGAGCCAACATGGCTACGGAAGGTTGTTAGTGTTTGCTTGTCGTTGCCGTTTCTTGGTGTTCGCTTGTTGCGCTTGCTTGCTTCGCTGTTGATATGTTTTGCTTTTGCTTATGTCGTGAGTGTTGTTGCTTCTGCTGTTGTTGGTGGTGTTGTTGTGCTTACTGTTGCTGCTGTCGTTGGTGTTGCTGGTGGTGATTCTGGTGTTGCTGTTGTGCTTTGCTACTGTTTCTGCTGTTGTTGGTGGTGCTGTTTTTGTGCTGGTTGCGGTTGCAGTTGTCTGCGTGGCCGCTGCTGTTGTTTGCGCGTGTTGCGTTGCTTGCGTGTGCTTGTGCTATGTGTGTTTGTTCTTTCGTTGCTCTGGCACCTGTCTCTTTTCTCTGTTTCTGGCGTCCTCGAGGCCGGGGGTCACCTCGCTGGGAGCTCCCAGCGCCTCGCCCTCACTCTGCCCGAAAGCACCTCGCTCAGAGCTCCCAGCGGCTCGCGAGGCGCCTCGGGGCTGAGTCAGAACTCGGGGCCGAGGCCTGCGAGGCATCGCGCTGCCTCGTCGTCGCCGGCTTGCAGTGGCGCCTGCGCTTCTCCTCGGGGCCGAGCTTGGCCTCCAGCTTGTTCTGCTTGTTCTCGTGCTTGGGGGGGGGGGGGGCCCTTCTTGTCCCCCAGCTCAACCTTCGCGTAATCCGGCTTGACCTTTTGACCTCTAGCTTCTTGTCCTCGAGGCTCTTGTCCTCAGGCTTGCTGGCGCCCTCCCCCGGCGCGGCGGGCTGCGTCTCCCCGCGCTGCTCGTAGGCGCCCTCGGTCTTCACCTCCTCGAAGTTCTCGGCCCGGGTGCCCTCTGGCGCCCACTCGTCGAGGAATATCGGCGAGACGAGGAATATCGGCGCCCCGAGGCGAGGCCACGCTCTCGTCGTCCGACCGCTCGGCGAAAAGCCGACGATCGTCGCTGTCCGACTCGGCCATGGCATGCTGCATCGCGGGCATGGTGTGCTGCGTCCTCCGCTGGCTTGGAATGCTTGAGCCTAAGTTGGCCACGGTTGTTTGTTGTTCGTGTTGTTTGTCTTGCTGCTGTTCTTGTTTGTCGCAGCTGTCGTTTGTTCTCCCTGCTGCTTGTACTGGTGCTGTTCCGCCCTGCTGTTGCTGCTGGTTTGCTGGTTGCTGTTGCTGTCGCGGCTGCTGCTGTTTGTGCCTGCGGTCTTGCGCGCGTGAGAGCGTGTGTTCGTGTGTGTGTGGGGGGGAGTGTGGGTGTGTAAGTGTGCGTGTGTGCGAGTGTGCGAGCGTGCGTGCGCGCGAGTGCGCGCGTGCGTGCGCGCGCGTGCGCGTGTGCGCGCGTGTGTGCGTGCGTGCGCGGGTGCTTTTGCGCGCGCGTGCGCGCGCGTTTGCGCGCGCGCGTGGCCGCCAGGCGTCGAGGCTCGACCCTCGACCCCCGGATCGAAGACCCGAGATCCTGGAGTCTAAGCTCGGCAATCCTCGGATCTAGGATCCGAGGTGCTCGCAGATGCTCAGCGCCAAGATCTCGAATCCTCGATCCGAAGATGGGGGATCGAGCCTGCTCGGTGGCAGAGTGGGCCCGAGGACGACCAGGGGAGCACGGACTAGGCTCGGCCCTCGAGCCTCGGATGTCGAAACCAGTCCAAACTTGGCGACCCTCGGATCTTGGACCCGAGGCGCTCATGTCGAGCCCGAGATCTTCCAGCCCAAGCTTGGCGACTCTCGGATCTAGGATGCGAGGTGCTCGCACATGCTCGAGACCAGGATCTCGGGCCCTCGATCCGAGAGTGCATGGTCGAGCCTGAATTGCGGCCGCGCGGGCTCGAGGGCGGCGGCGAGGGCGATCCACCATCGTTCGCGCTCGGCCCTCGAACCTCGGGCGTCGAACCCGAGATCTTCAAGTCCAAGTTTGGCGACCCTCGGATCTAGGACCCAAGGTGCTCGAAGATGCTCGGGCTCATGATCTCGGACCATCGATCCGAGGATGGAGGATCGAGGATGCTCGACGGCAGCGTGGCGATCGAGGACCGCCGAGGCTCAATCCTCGATCCTCGGATCGCGAACCCGAGATCCTCGAGCCCCAGCTTGGCGACCCTCGGATCTAGGACCCAGGGGGCCCCAAGACGCTCGGACTCAAGATCTCGGATCATCGATCCGAGGATGGAGAATCGAGCCCACGTGTTTCCTTGATGCTTGATCGAGGATCACTCGGCGAGAAAGGGGAGTCGCACCCCGCAGCTCGGAACGCCACCCGCGCGTGCACGAGCGCTCTCTTGGAGCTTGAAACGCAGATGGGGCTCGAGCGCGCGCCTCGAAACGGCGCCCTCGCAGCGGGAAGCATGGGGCACTCGGCTCGGGGAGCTCGTGCGCTCAGGCGTCCACGAGCATGGCCGAGGCGGGCTCTGACTCGGCCCTCGCGTCGGCATGGCCCCTCTCGTCATCGCGCCTGTGCGCGGTGAGCGCGTCGTGCTCGGCCTGGATCGACGCGAACAGAAGTGCAGCTCGATGTGGTCATCGAGAAGCGCCTGCTCGCGCTGCTGCTGCTTGGCGGTTTTCGAGCAGCCCCGCTCGGCGCGCTTGTCTTGGTAGCTCTGCTCGTGCAGCTCGTAGCTCATGTCGGCGGCTTTATTCGTGCACCAACGCCACTTGACGATTGCCGATGCGGTGGCATTTGCGACTCTATCGGGCGCGATCGAGACCATGGGGGCCTCGTTGCACCACCTGGCGTACTCTCGGGCCCTGCTCGGAATCATCTCGAAGAGCATCTCGGCACCCTCGGCGGGCCTGTCGTCCAAGTGCTCGACGGGATCGAACTTCTCGTTGAGCGGCAGCACTTGCTCGTGGAGGTAGAGGAGCCCGGCGGGGATGCTTGGGAGGGCATGCCCGATGCGCTCGGCGTAGGACCGTGGGTCAGCTTCTTGACGTTCTCGGCGCCGAGCTCCATGTCGTTCTTCTTGGTGAGCTCCTGCAGTTCTGCCCTGAAGGTCGGCGTGAGCCAGCAGAGGCCCTCGGGCGGCTCTCCGCGGTTCTCGAAGATGCCACGCACGCGGTCGCTCTTCTCGACGTAGGTCGTGAAGAACACCGCCACGGCCAGCTCGATGCGCCTCTGGCCCTTCTCGTTGAAGATGCGGCTGTACCTGGTGCTCGTGTAGCACCATCCTCGGCACGCCATCTCGAGCACGGCTTGCTGGGCGCTCGGCAACCACGAGGCGCTCTCGGCCCTGAAGTAGCAGCTCGTCATCCTCGCTGCATCCGCACCTTGCGCGCTCGACTGGCACTGGCGCGTCTCGGCAGTGGAGGCCACCTCGGCGATGTAGGACAGCTTCTCGAGGATCTTCTCGTCCTGCTTGGCAATGCGCTCGGGGGCCCCGTTCGGGCACGGGCTCGGCGCCGCCGCGTGCTTCAGCGCCTCCACGGGGGCGCTCGCCGCCGCTGCGCGCTCGGCGGGCTGGGCCATCGCTGGGGTTCGCGACGCAATCAGGGGCAACGATGTGGGGGGATAGGCATCGGCTATACATCGCCGATGCATAGGCATGCCTCTCCCCCATATCGCTGCCCTGGGGCGAAGAGGCTCGGCGCCTCGAAGAGGTCAAAAGCTTGGAGTCTCGGAGACTCGCGAAAGCTTGGGTCTGGGCAGCTGCGGGGACAGAGGGGGGGGGAGGAGGAGGAGGAGGAGGAGGAGGAGGAGGAGGAGGAGGAGGAGGAGGAGGAGGAGGAGGAGGAGGAGGAGGAGGAGGAGGAAGGGCCACGGATCGTGAGGGGTGCGCTAAAAAAGTAATTCACTTAACGAACGAATTCCAATGCTCTGCCTGCTCGAAAAACGCATGCACAATCCAAATTCAATCAATTCCCATGGCCCTGCCACACGTTCCTGACCCGGGAACGGCTAACAACATGAGAACCTCATGGCCCTGCCGCGCGTTCGTAACGTGAGCTAACTCAACAAGTGAGGATCCGACAGCCCTGCCACACGCTCGTGATTGCGGAAACTGGTGTGGCGATGTTTGATGTTCCGCGTTTTTTGATGCTGTTGCGAACCAACAAGATATGATCGCAACTTCGATTCCAGCAACTTTTCCGTGGATTATGAAGTTCGGCTTGCGCGCCTTCCCCACAAATTAATCCCGGTGGTCGGGGATTACAAACATTGAGGGGGTGAAGTGGGGGGTACTTTATTATCGCCCGCACGGGGTTCGCACTAACCGCGCGTGCATCTATCCTCGTATAGCCCGACCAAGACGCGCGTGAGCTGATTGATGATCCCGTTCTTTTCCAAGTACTTCCGGAACTCGTCCTGCCACGGCGGGCTGGCATCGGGCGACCAGGAGGGGGCGCAAACGCGGGAGGCGGGCGTGATCCAAGGAATAAGAGGCCCACAAACGAAGGGATGGAACTGCAAAAGCAAACCCGCATATACGTAGACATTCCGCGGTCCGTGCGGATTTCTTGGGGCGTCGCCCCAGGCGCCACCAATGAGGCTCAGCGCAGATCCAAGAACTCCGCGGGGACTATTGTTGATTCATCGGTGAGTCTCAGCACTCCGCCGTCTCCTTTCTCCTCCCAATTGAGATCCTTCGCCACCTAATGTCGCACTGTGTGCCCCCGAGAAGCAAAAAAGGCCGCCCTTGGTGGCGCAAGGGCTGCGGAGGCTTCTGCTAAGTAGGATGTAGTCCTGTGTCGTTTGTACCGCCGTTTGCTTCTTATCTCGTGTCACTCCCGGCACGTCTCCATTGTACTGTCATCGCCGATGCACCGACGACGCCAGCGTGGAGGAAAATCAGGCCCCACACCGAGCCGCATCGGCGATGCATCGGCGATACAGCGCGATCCACCGACCCCACCTCCTCCTCCTCCTCCTCCTCCTCCTAATCCTCCTCCTGCTCCTCCTCCTGCTGCTCTTCCTCCTCCTGCTCGGACTCCAGCTGGGAGCCCCAGACCACTGACGAGGCTGGCCGACGCTCCTTCTGGGTGTCGGGCGTCTCGACGCTCATCGCCGCTGCCGCCGCGAAGGACTTGGCCGTCTGGGCCGCTGAGGGCACAGCCGCTGGTGAGCCAAACGGGCTGGCAGACGTTCTCCTCCTGCTGCTCCCGTCCTTACCTCCTCTGCCTCCCTCCCTCGCTCCTCACAGCACTTCCTCCTCCTCCTCACCCTCCCCTCCCCTTCCCTCCCCTCTGCTCCCTCCTCCTGCTCCTCCTGCAGCTGCTCCCTCTCCTCCTTCCCCTCCTTCTCTTCCTCCTCCTCCTCCTCCTCATTTCTCTCTCGCTCTCTCTCTCTCTCACACTAGTGTCTATATTTCTCTATTCTCTCTCTCTATCTCTATATATATATATATATATATATGTATGTATCTCTATCTCTCTCTCCTCTCTCTCTCTCTCTCCTTCGCTCTCGGTGGTGATGCGGTGGTGATGTAAGAAGATGATGGCCAGTGTCCACCATCACCCAAGCAACACCACCAAGGCCTAGAGAACGAAATCACCGCTGCACATGCAAAGCCTGCAAACGTACATTCCGTCTCGTGCTTCTGATATTCCTGTTCCTCTTCCTCTTCCGTATGATCGTCCTCGTCGTCCTCCGCTTCATCATCACCACCACCACGATCAGCATCATCATCATCATCATCATCATCATCATCATCATCATCATCATCATCATCATCATCATCATCATCATCATCATCATCAGCATCATCATCATCATCAAGATCAGCATCATCATCAGCATCATCATCATCAGCCTCATCGTCATCAGCATCAGCATCAGCAGCAGCAGCAAAATCAGCATCAGCATCATCAGCATCATCACCATCATCATCACAACCATCACCATCATCATTATCATAATCATCATCAGTATCACAACCAGCATCAGCATCAGCATCAGCATCAGCACCAGCATCAGCATCAGCATCAGCATCACCACCAGCATCAGCATCAGCATCAGCATCAGCATCATCATCAGCATCAGCATCGTCATCATCGTCATCATCAGCATCATCATCATCATCATCATTATCATCATCCTCATCCTCATCCTCATCCTCATCCTAATCCTCATCCTAATCCTCCTCCTCCTCCTCATCTCCTCCTCCTCCTCCTCCTCCTCCTCCTCTCATCCTCATCCTCATCTCATCCTCATCCTCATCCTCATCCTCATCCTCATCCTCATCCTCATCCTCATCCTCATCATCATCATCATCATCATCATCATCATCATCATCATCATCATCATCATCATCATATCCTGGTGTCTTCCTGGATGGCTCGGCCGTGCGCACCCGCGACCGCCAGCTCGCACGAGCAGGTTGGGCCCGGGTGACGCCGCGGGTGAAAGACGCCGAGAGCACGGTCATGTGGGGAAACGTGCATTGGCCGCTCACGCAGGGCAGTGGCGCGGGCGAGCTGCAGGCAGCTCTGGCCCTGGACAAGCAGCTCTCAAAGGTGACAAGGGGGGAGGACGCTTCATTATCTGGGGCGTGCGTTTACCCTACGAGCAGTGCCCCCTCCTCCATCGCCCCAGACATACAGATCGCGCTCGCCGCCCAGCAGCGAGCTTCGGAACACTTCTGCACAGCAAGGGGGAACGGGTCCTGAGGGAAACGGGTCCTGGACCCTGGTGCTTCCCCCCGGGATGAGATCTTCATCCCGGGCGCTTCTCTGACAGCCCCCCGGCCGGTGGAGGGCCCCGGGAGCCCGAAAACGGAGCAAAACCTCGGGACCCGTGTTTGGACGCCCGAGTCATCCGGGGTAACTCGGGCCCGGCGGGGTAAGTCGGGTTCGGATTCCCGAAACACGAACCCGAGTTAGCCCTGACCCGAGTTACCCCTGATGATTCGGGGCTCTGGACGCCCGAATTATCCGGGGTAACTCGGGTCCGAGGTAAGTCGGGTTCGGATTCCCGAAAAACGAACCCGAGTTAGCCCTGACCCGAGTTACCCCTGATGATTCGGGGCTCTGACGTTTCCCTCAGGGCCCGCGCCCCCCGAGGCGAACTTTTGCCCCGCGTGAAAAACCACTCAGTGCGCGCGCGCCCCGAGGCGCCCCGGGGGCGCCAGCCCCCGACGGGCGGTGGCCGCGCGCCGTGGCGGCGAGAGCGCCGGGGGGCCAGCGCGGCGCGCGCCCGGCGCGGGCCCCGAGAGCCCGGCGCCGCCTAGATCCTCAATCCTCGGCCATAGCTCCTCCTCCTCGTCCTCCTCCTCCTCCGCCTCCTCCTCCCCCCTCCCCCTCCTCCTCCTCCTCCTCCTCCTCCTCCTCCTCCTCGTCCTCCTCCTCCTCCTCGTCCTCCTCCTCCTCGTCCTCCTCCTCCTCCGCCTCCTCCTCCTCCTCCTTAAAGGCCATGGTGGCTTCTGGGCGGGGCACCTCCCTCTCCGTTCCCCCCTCTCGGCTCGGTCGGTGCTGCACCATCGCGGAAGGAGAAAAAGGAGTGCAAATGGCGCCGTCGAGGAGATCGACTACAGAATCGGCTCACCCGGAAGTCGTTCTGTGTCGTCGGGTATGCCCGAGATAGAACGCCAGGACGTCCCGCAAATGCCCGAAGGCTCTGCGCCTCTTCTTGGGCTCGAGGAGGAACACAACTCGGGGAAATCGACTGTGCAGTCGACCTCCTGCTCGAACCGAGCACCCCTCGTCGGCCCTCTCGACCCTCGGCCCTCGGCCCTCGACCCCCGATCCTCCTCCTCCTCCTCCTCCTCCTCCTCCTCTCCTCCTCCTCCCTCCTCCTCCTCATCTCCCCCCTCCTCCTCCCCCTCCCCCTCCTCCTCCTCCTCCTCCACCTCCTCTCTCGGCCCTGAAATCTTCGGCCCTCGACCCTCGGCCCCCTCGCCCCGCCACCCTCGGCCCCCTGGGCCGAAGTCTGCGGCGGCCCCCGATCCCGTCGGCCCTGGAGCCCCGAGAGCTGCCTCGAGGGAGGGCCGCCGAGCGGGCGCCCGGGGGGCGCGGCGGCGGTTGCGGTTGTGGGGGGGGGGGGGTCGCCGTCCAGTGGAAGCCACGGGGGGGCAGGGGGCCGTCGGGTGCTGCGAAGGGTGCCCCCCCCCCCCTGGCCCAAGGTGCCCCCAGCTCTTGGCTCCATGCTGGGGCCCCTGGGGCTCTCTGGGCCTCGCGAGGGGTGCTCCTGGAGGCCGTGGGGGAGCTCCCGGGACATCCTGGGGGCACCCTGGGCCAGGGGCACCTCTGGCAGCACCCGAGGCTGGAGCACACCCACCGCTCGCGGAGGGTCGGAGGTCGCGAGGGGACCCTCAGATGCACATGTCTGGAGGGGCCCAGGGATACAAATACATACACACAAATAAAACGATTCCCCATAGTTTCCTATAATTTTCTGGGTTTCTGTCTTCCCCCCCACTTCCCATATTTTTCCATATTTCCCTGGGACTCGACGATCAATTGTGTCTGCGTGTTTTTCTCCTCCTGAGAGCAGGGCTTCCATGCCTTTGCGTGCGTATGATCAGAAGTCGAGGGAGGGCTCGCCGTCCAACTGAAGTCACAAGGGAGGTTGGGGCACACCCATGCAGACAGGCAGAGGGACAGACGGGCGCCAGGAACGTCCCGAGGGACGGCCCCGTGAGGAGCTCGGCGGGGGCGCCAGAGCGCCGAAACTCAGATGAAGTAGCACACGAAATAGCAAGGGATGTGTCGACCCTATTCCAGGCTTCGTGGGGCTTTCGAGTGGACCAGACATGTTGCGCCCAACTCGGGAATATAGGACGGGGGGGGCGTGGATTCCTCGATAGGGGTGCGTCCGTTTAGCGTCCTCTGGGGGCTCATCCCTGGGTTTCGCTCCTTTTCTGAGCGGCCTGATTTTCTGGGGAAAGGCCGGGGGTTGGGGGTGAGCAATCGCCTGCGACGGAAGCCTGGCTGCGACGCTCAGGCGCGCCTCGGGGGGCACGTCCACGCATCGCTGAAGGAGGAGGAGGAGGAGGAGAAGGAGGAGGAGGAGAAGGAGGAGGAGGAGAAGGAGGAGGAGGAGGAGGATGGGAAGGAGGGGGAGGAGGGGGAGGAGGTCGCACGGGGACGCTGGGATCCCGAGCTCGCAATCTCTGCACAGCGGGCGACTGGCTGCCCTGTCTCGGGCCCGGGGGCCCTCTGAAGGGCTGAAGGGGCCCTGGGACACACAAAGAAGTACACACAAATAAAAGGATCCCCCTATATCTTCCCATGCTTTCTGGGTTTCTGTCTTCCCCCCCGCTACCCATCTTTTCCTACATTTTCGGGGGAATCGACGATTCATTGTGTCTGCGTGTTTTTTTCTCCTCCTGACCCTCACCTATCCTCTCGTCGCGAGGAATCGCCACGGGAGGTTTCTGGCAGTCTGCTGCCTCCAGGGGCCGCTGCCGGGCCCCGCCCGCGGCGGCGCGCCGCGGGCGCTCCTGCTCACTCCTGGCGGGGGCCGAGGGCAAGCTCCCGTCGTTTCGACTCCGGCGCAGGCTCGCTCGCATCAGGGCACCTCGTTCTCCCCCTCCTCCTCCTCCTCCTCCTCCTCCTCCTCCTCCTCCTCCTCCTCCCCCTCCTCCTCTCAGGGGAGGGCGGCCAGGACGGGACGGGACGGGAAAATGACCACAGCCACTGCTTCTTGTTTGCGCCGCCTTCCAGGTGGCCGAAAAAGAAGCCGTGGTTGTGGTCATCTCCCTCGTGCCGAGCTTAACGAAAATGACCACAGCCACTGCTTTGGTTCTGCTGGCTGGAAGGCGGCAACAAAAGGAAAGCAGTGGCTGTGGTCGTTTCCACGCCCCGTATTTCGACTCCGGCGCAGGCTCGCTTGCATCAGGGCACCTCCTTCCCCCCCTCCCCCCGCCTCGCACCCACTGCAGACAGAGCTGGGCCGAAAGGGCGCGCAAGGGGTTCCCAGCGCGCGTGAGGTTCCGGCTCCCGTGCGGGCCTCGCCACGCCACGCCCCTCCGTGTGCAGGCGGACTTGCCGCAGTTTACAGGGAAGCTGCCGCATGGCAGGGCCGTGGTGGGGCACTCGTCTTCCAACAAAGGGCCACTTCTGGAAGTGCAATTCGGGGGCATCACTGGGGCGGAAAGGATCAGCTGAGACCTGGCACACCTTTCGACCAGCTGGTAGCTGATTTAGTGGTCCTCCCGAGGATCACAAACCTGCATAAACCACAACTTCATGATTCAAAAAACGGCACTGGACAAAATATATGCTTATGCCACTGTGTGCCCCTCGAGGAAATTACTAAACCCGCCACCTGCTACAGCGGAGCGAAAGGGTAACGAAACTGGAACGAGACTGGAACGAAACAGAAACGAAGCCGAAACGAAACTGAGACTACGCTGGAACGAATCTGGAAAGAAACGGAAACCACACAGGAACGAAACCGGCACTAAATTAGAACGTCAAATCGTTGATAGAGACGACCATAGAACGTAAGCGTAGCTGCAACACATAAAATGAACGTCAGAGTGACGAAGGCGAACGGTCATTCACTGCCCCTGCGCGTGGCTGAAATGGGGTTCCACGGTGCGTGTGTTGTTGCGTTGTTGTCGCGTTGTTGTTGCGTTGTTGTTGCTGCTATTGCTGCTGTTGTTGTTGTTGTTGTCGTTGTTGTTGTTGTTGTTGTTGTTGCTGTTGTTGTTGTTGTTGAACATTATTTCTTCTTAAGAATAATTATTGTTGGGACCCCTGGTGCGCGACCCCCCTCCAAAACCTAGGCCGCAGCTACATTTTCATCATTTTTTCGCAGAAGCTTCAGAAAAGTGGATTATGTCCGGATCCGGTTGTTTTGTTCCCCCCCGCTTTCCCTTGCAAAAAACACTATAAAATGAAAATTCTTGTTCTTATTTGATCAAATTGCAAGAATCCCTTGCAAAAAATAAGGTAAAGTGGACATTCGTGCGCGCAAGACGAAATCCTTCCAAAACCTTAGGTTTCGTAACGATTTTAACATAAAAACATCAAAAACCCAATGGTTTTTTTAAGAAAAAATTGTCAAAATGTCCTTCCGCGCGCGCTGTCCGAATCCCACAAAACCAATGGTTTTTCAACATTTATGTTATATGAGCTCGCGCGAGCTACTTTTTCTTGTTCTAACATAATCAAATTTCAATAATCCCTTGCAAAAAATAAGGTAAAGTGGACATTCGCGCGCGCAAGACGAAATCCTTCCAGAACCTTAGGTTTCGTAACGATTTCAACATAAAAACATCAAAAACCCAATGGTTTTTCAAAAAAAATGTCCAAATTTCATCCCGCGCGCGCTGTCCGACTCCCACAAAACCAATGGTTTTTCAACATTTATGTTACATGAGCTCGCGCGAGCTACTTTTTCTTGTTCTAACATAATCAAATTTCAATACTCCCTTGCAAAAAAAAGTAAAGTGGACATTCGCGCGCGCAAGACCAACAAAAAACACGACGATCTCAGGAACTTGCCCCAAAAATGTGACCAACTCCGCTCTCTCTGTCTCTCTCTCTGTCTGCTCTCTGTCTCTCTCTCTGTCTGTCTGTGTCATGTATTGTATGTCACAATTGCAGGATGCTGGGCACACGCGCGCCCCGAATAAGTGACCAAGTTCTGTGGGTGTGTACCCCACGCCAGTGTAGTAGCCACGGTCGTCCGCACGCCACGAAGTGAAGTGTCCCAACGTCATAGGGCGGGAAGCTGGGTTTGGGTGGTCGCGAAGAGTCGTTTGGATATTTGGTAGAGCTTGAACTGCCCCCCCACGAAGTGGGGGTATTGTCTCGCGTCGCATGAAAACCCTGGCACTGGTGAGAACACTGAGCGTTCGGGTAAAATGATTGTTGTTGTTGTTGTTGAACATTATTACTTCTAAAGAATAATTATTGTTGGGACCCCTGGTGCGCGACCCCCCTCCAAAACCTAGGCCGCAGCTACATTTTCATCATTTTTTAGCGAAAGCTTCAGAAAAGTGGATTGTCACCGGATCCGGTTTTTTGTTGTACTCCGTTTTCCCTTGCAAAAAACACTATAAAATGAAAATTCTTGTTCTTACTTGATCAAATTGCAAGAATCCCTTGCAAAAAATAAGGTAAAGTGGACATTCGTGCGCGCAAGACGAAATCCTTCCAAAACCTTAGGTTTCGTAACGATTTTAACATAAAAACATCAAAAACCCAATGGTTTTTTAAGAAAAAATTGTCAAAATGTTCTTCCGCGCGCTCTTGCGGATTCGTAGGAAAACCAACACTTTTTAAACAATTCTGTCAAACGGGCTTTTGCGAGCAACTTTTTCGAACTTCTGCGACAACGGTTGCGCACCTGCCAGGGCCATCATCCCTGTCAAATAATACCATGCGGGACACATTCGTTTTTTCTTCGCGCGCGCACGCCGAAATCTCCAAAAACCATTGGGTTTTTAAGAATTTTAGCACCGCGCATCATAAAATCACACGAATCGCACCGTAGGTCCTCGAAAAACACCTGCACGACTTTTCAAAATTTCCACCCGCGCGCGCTGTCCGAATCCTAAAAAAACCAATGGTTTTCCAACATTTATGTTACATGAGCTCGCGCGAGCTACTTTCGCACGCTCTTGCAACGGGGTTCGCGCGCCTGCCAGGGGCCAGAACTCCGCTCTCTCTGTCTCTCTCTCTGTCTGCTCTCTGTCTCTCTCTCTGTCTGTCTGTGTCATGTATTGTATGTCACAATTGCAGGATGCTGGGCACACGCGCGCCCCGAATAAGTGACCAAGTTCTGTGGGTGTGTACCCCACGCCAGTGTAGTAGCCACGGTCGTCCGCACGCCACGAAGTGAAGTGTCCCAACGTCATAGGGCGGGAAGCTGGGTTTGGGTGGTCGCGAAGAGTCGTTTGGATATTTGGTAGAGCTTGAACTGCCCCCCCACGAAGTGGGGGTATTGACTCGCGTCGCATGAAAACCCTGGCACTGGTGAGAACACTGAGCGTTCGGGTAAAATGATTGTTGTTGTTGTTGTTGTTGTTGCTGTCGCCGTCGTCGTCCTCGCCCTCGACCCCACCCCACGACCCACCCCGCGAACCACCCGCGACCCGCCCACATCGCTTTGACGAAAGTTCGGCGCCTGCGGCGCGCTCGTTCTGCAACGCGTTTCAAACATCGGCGCCTCTGGCGGGCGTCTTCACACCTCCGCAGACTGCCGACGGCCCCGCCGCCCCCTCACAGCGGGGTGCTACGTGCTCTCGGGCGTCTCGGAGGCCCCGAGTCCTTGCAACCCCGGAATGCAGGTACCGACACCGCTGCTCCCCTTTGGGCGGTGGGGCGGCCGAGCGGAAAGGCCGAAGCGGCTCTCGGGATCGGCGCCTGCCTTGTGGCGCAGGACCAGTCACGGCCCTGCGGTTTCGGGGAGGTCTCCTCCTCCTCATCTTCCTCCTCCTCCTCCTCCTCCTCCTCCTCCTCCTGACCAGAACATCAAGGCGATTACAGCCGTGGCGACGAGGGCGTCCCAAGAGGACGAACAAAGCAGACACGCAGAAACGGTAGCGGTACGGGCACCTTTTCCCCCGTCCGACTTATACTCTGTAAGAACGTTTTTTTGAAGGCAGATCTGCCTTCAAAAAACCGTTCTTACAGAGGCTGCCTGCCAGAATCCAGAGAACAACCGCGAGCGAACTGGGCGTCGCTCAACAGGGGGGCGATGCAATGGGGAGGAGGGGGGCACAAACGTGAAGGGCTTCGCGCGTCGGGGAGATGACTATCAAGTTGCATCTTTCGGGGATGGACAGACCCCCTTTAGTAAAACGTGGTTTAGTGAAAACGACCTGAGGCCCAAACCTGGCGGGCGCAAGCCTTGGGAATAACGGCCACGGCGCCCTCTCGAGAGCCGAAAACGGCAAGTCGCTAATCGACGTGTCACTGTTGGGGGCTCTGTCCACCCCCGAATCTTCTGCTCTCTACAGTCAACCTGCATACAGTGGGGGCTCGGCCACAGGAAACCTCCGCAAGAAGCCCAACCCAGAAATACGCGATTTGTTCGGTGAAAATCCACATGTGTCGATCGAAAATCGTCAAGATCTGATTGGGAGCCCATCAGAATCCAAGAAACCCAGGGCACCCTGGCAAAATCCAACTGGTTTCTTGGCACGCGCCCCCACTGTAGTAGGGATGGGTAGTTCCCCCAGGGGTACCCTTGGCATCCTTGCGCCCTTGCCTCTTCCCCAAGGATGGGTAGTTTCCCCAAGGATGGGTAGTTTCCCCAAGGATGGGTAATTTCCCCAAGGGCACAAACGTGAACGACTTCGCGTGTCGGGGAGGTGACTATCAAGGTGCATCTTCTGCTCTCTACAGTCATACTGCATAGTAGGGATGGGTAGTTCCCCCAAGGGTACCCTTGGCATCCTTGCGTCCTTGAGAGGGAGGAGGAGGTGGAGGAGGGGGAGGAAGAGGGGGATGATGATGAGGAGGAGGAGGAGGCATAGCAAAGATGGGTACCCTTGGCATCCTTGCGCCCTTGCCTCCTCCGCCCATCCTTGGCCGCTGTTGCTGGCCGCGCCCCGCTCGAAGAGCGTCTCGGCAGAGCCGTTCGGGGCCCCCGCATCCCCAGCGTGAGTCTCTACGATACGGGTTGGCTGTACAGTCGGGGCCTTGACCTAAGGAACCCAACATAAGGAACGAGGCCCCTTTTTCCCACAAGTTAAACTTCGATGTCCCATCGAAAACCTAAGGAAAACCCAAGGCAAGCTGCGAAACAATCAAGGAACACCGAGCCCCTCCCCAACGAAAAAGGGTTCCTTCTCCAGGGCCCCGGCTGTATGATGAAAGTGGATGCTCTGCTCTCTATTCTCTTGCCGTAGGAACTGAATGTGTCCCTCGAACACATAATTAGCGCGCAATCTGTGGCCTCCAACCCACCTGGCCTGGAGGCCTCCTTTGGGCCCTCCACGGGCCCCTTTAGTGGTCCTACAAGGCTCCTTTTCTGCAGCCCTCGCTGCCCCCCCCCCATTTTTCCCCACTCAACCCCAGCGATGACCAAACCCTCGATCATCGCAAGTCGCTACCGCAAGAATGCGCCGCAGCGTGAGGCACATGACTGCAAAGCTGACCTCCAGCGAGCGAAGAACGGTATAGAATAAACTGTTTCGCTGTCGGGGGCGCCTGTCCCTGGGCGGCTGGAAAGTTTATACCCCTACACGGCGCCACTCTAAGGGTATAAACTTTCCAGCCGCCCAGGGACAGGCGCCCCCGACAGCGAAAAAGTTGATTTTATACCGTCATTCGCCCGTTAAGACATGGTGGAGCAACAACGAAGCAGTCGGGTGGCGATAAGGGGGTGCCTCTGCCCCCTCCTCGCCGTGGCTCGCTCGGACGTCCGCTCCCCCGCGCACTCCTCGGCCACGCGGCGTCCCGTTCTCCGCGCGATTGACCCAAGAGGCTCCTCGATCGGGTGTCGTTCGACCGATCCCCATCCCCAGCGGCGTGGCCTGGGCCCTACTGGCCGAGTTGCCCCCCTGGATGGGGATGTGGGTCGTTCCCCTCCGGCCTCGAGGGGTGCCTCCCCAACTGGGGCGGTCATGTGGTGGGGGTCTCGAAGGGGACGGGGGTGGGGGTGGGGATCGCTTCAAGGATGCTCCTCGACGGCCCCCGCCGAGGAGAGAGAGGAGCCTGTGCTTTTTTAGACTCTGGCAAATTTGCTTGCATGGAAGGGGGGGGGGGGCTGAGCCGGAAGCAAGCCCGGGGGGGGGGCGCGGAAATCACGCAAGTCGAAAGGCACTGCACGCTAGTATTCGCTTGACGAGGGGCGAGGGGGGGGGGGCGGCCATGCACGTAAACTTGCCTGAATCCCAAAGAAACACACGCTCGAGCGTGAGATCGAGCGCAGGCCGCGAGATGCCCCCCCGGGGGGGCCCCGCCCGGCCGCGCGGGGCGGGCGCGGCGGCGCCCCGCGCGCGCGCCAGCTCCTGGGGGGATGCGGGGGTGGGGGCGCCGAGGGGGGGCCGTCACCGCGCAGGGCCCGCGACGGGAGGAGGGGGGGGAGGAGGAGGAGGAGGAGGAGGAGGAGGAGGAGGAGGGGGAGGAGGAGGAGGAGGGGGAGGAGGAGGAGGAGGAGGAGGAGGAGGAGGAGGAGGAGAGGAGAGGAGGAGGAGGAGGAGGAGGAGGAGGGGAAGGAGGGGAGGAGGAGGAGGAGGGGAGGAGGAGAAGGGAGGAGGAGGAGGAGGGGGGGGGAGGGGAGGAGGAGGAGGAGGAGGAGGAGGAGGAGTAGGAGTAGGAGAAGAGGAGGAGGAGGAGGAGGGAGGAGGAGGAGGAGGAGGAGGGGGAGGAGGAGGAGGAGGAGGAGGAGGAGGAGGAGGAGGAGGAGGAGGATCGTTGGAAAATTAGACTGGACTCGGTGATAGGGGACAGAGGTCTGGATACGGTAATGGGTTAGACAGACTGGAGGCAGGCGGTCTCATCTGGCACGCGGGCCTCGCTGGTGCGGCCGTGCTGCCGAGCTGCAGTCGGCCCATGCGGCCGAGGAGGCGCGGCGAGGATGCACGGGGCCTCCGACGCCCGCGCCGGGGCTCTGCGAGCCTGGCTGGCCCCGCGGGCCTGCGGCGGTGTGGTGGCGTGGTGCGGTCGGGCTGCTGAGATGCAGTCAACCCATACGTCGAAACCGAAGAGCGTGGGAGGGCCCCGCCGACTCCGCGGCCGGACGTGGCCGATTGCTGTGCCCCGAACCCCAGCCTCACCTGAATGAGCGAGCAGAGGCGCCAAACTGACGACCATTCGAGGGTGCCCTCTGGCAGGATGCACAAGAACACCAACAAACACGAACATCATCAGGGTACCCTCCCCGAACCGACATCGATCTTATGTCTCGGTCCGACTGCACAGGAAGGATGCACGGTAAGGATGCTAGGGCCTTGGACGCCCATGCCGAGGCTCTTCGAGCGGGGCTGGCCATCGAGCATGTTTGATAATGGACCAGAGATGACCTAAGAGGCAAGGATGCACGTGGTGCGGTCGGGCTGCTGAGATGATGCAAGATGAAGATGAAGAAAAGACGGTAGGGGGACGATTCACAAAATAGTTTTCGAATCGTCGGATGCCGCTTCGCTTCGGCTTCGTCTAATTAGCCCGTCGACTGTCCAGGCGCGCGCCTACAGAAGGCGGGAAGGAACGATGAAACAAAACATATTCCCGTCCTAGGGCTGGTGTTGTTAGTCCTTATCCCTGCGCCAGGGCGTGAACGCACCCCCTGGTAACTTCTGAAGCACCATCCTGCATATGGGGAACGCTACATGAGGAGCGACGGCCCTGTGTGGCACCAGGAGAGCCTGATTGCACGAGGAAGGCTGGAGGAGAGGCAGCCACTGACGACCAAAACGTATGAGTGCCCATGTTGGGCATAACTTTGCACCTTTCTGTCGCTCAGTTATGAACGGCGCCAGCACGCCACTCCTGGACAACACCCCTGCCCCGATGTGTAGCCGCCGCGATCGCCGCGGCGACCTCCAAAACCCACCCAAAGGTTCGGTTTGGGGTAGGATATCACTCATCGACGTGGGGCAATGCAGAACTTGAGAAACACCTTACGGGAGGTCTTCGTGAGAACGAGCGCGGGCGATTAGTTAAACGGCCACTGAACCGCACCAAGCCGGATGCAGTCCAGGACTAAGCTGGATCAAGCGGCCGCACTCGGATTGAGCGGGATTTGATTGGCTGCAACGTTAGACCGTGGACCAGATTGAACCAATTTCGACAATGGGTAACCGAACGTGGCCATTAAGAACCCCCCTTTGGGTTATCGTTTACACCGAACAAGCAGTTCGCGGGGGCGAAGAATTTAGCATAACGATATCTTAGCACTGCACCAAGCCGCAACAAATGACAACGTATAGCCCTTTTCGTTATCTTTCTCTCTCTCTCTCTTTCTTTCTGTGTCTCCTCGTTTTCTGTATCGATTATGTTCCTTGCTGCGCATGTGCATTTAAGTAATGGCTGACCAAACACGTATCGGAACGTTGATTTTCGCTCGGCCCTCACGCGGGGTAGTCCACATGCTCACGTTGGGCAGCTGAGTTCGTCCTCCTTTTTCCCAAGCTTCCTGTGGTGTTGGACCTTCGTTTTGAAAAAACGGTCCCCGCGTTTTCCTCCTCCTCCTCCTCCCTTCCTCCTCCTCCCCCTTTTCCTTCCCCCCTGCGCTTCACCCACCCAGTACAACGCTTCGTAGCCCCATAGGGAGCTCAACCGAAAACCCCAGTGCCACCGCCCGCATGGCGCCGCCGCCCCATTTTGGCACACCCCTCACACGTTTCGTGGGCCCCAAAAGAGCCCCATCGAAGGCCCCAGTGCCACCGCCCGCATGGCGCCGCCCCCCTATTTTGGCAGACCCCTCACACATTCCGTGGCCCCATAGGGAGCTCCACCGAAATCCCCAGTGCCACCGCCCGCATGGCGCCGCCGCCCCATTGTGGCACAACCCTCACACGTTTCGTGGCCTCGTAAGGAGATCTAAGGTCTCAGTTGCGCAGCCCAGCGCATCCCGGGCGGGAGCCAACCTGCTCGCTCGCTCTGCTCCGAGCAGCGGACGACCCGCGCGCGTCGCCGGGACCCCTTCGGGGCGAGCAGCGCGCGTCGCGGGGACTCCGCGCGGCGCCGCGCCCGCGGCCTTGGACGTGGGCGTGCACGGGCAAAGCGGGAGAAATATAACGGAAAGGCAGCCGGCGCGATCCTCGTGAGATGCGCGCCGACTTGGGCGTCGACATTTGTGCACGTTCACGCGCGCGCAGACTCATCCACAATCAGACTCACGGGCTCTCAGTCTCTCGCACACAGACCTATCGTCTTCGTTCGCGTTGCGTGCCCCGCCACGCATGTCGGCACGCCCCTCGCACGGTTCGTGGCCCCATGGGGGCGCGGGCGAAGCTGATATTTATACTTGCGGTATGCATAACTGCATACGGTTGGGTCCTTCGCCAGGCGAATTGCTTCTTTTCCCTCGACGCCCCAGCCCCATGTGATTCCGACTATAATGTATAATGCTTAATAAGAAATTGAGCTTCGCCAGCTGTCCTAGGGGGCGTGGTCCCTCCCAGGGTATCGCCCCCGCCCCGCACGGAGCGCTATCCTAGCACAACGGAACACAGAAACAAATGAATCTCCGTCCATTGGAATAGAAAGAGCATCAGTAACAATAATACGAGTAGAAGCAGTAAGAGTAGTCGTAGTAGTAGTAGCTGCAGTAGTCGCAGTCGTAGTAGTCGTAGTAGTCGTCGCAACAGTAGTAATAAGAGTAGTCGTAGTAGTAGTAGTAGTAGTAGTAGTAGTAGTAGTAGTAGTAATACGAATCGCAGTAGTAGTA